ACAGATGGGGGCGGCCTATTCTTTGTCACCTTTGAGTCCATCCCTATGTTCACTAATGCCATGCAGGTATATTTATCGTTTAACGCCGCACCCAGCTATAGTCCAGCTATATTTCCAAGGCCTGTTAATGATCGAATATGGACGCGACAATACAGTGCGTGACGACATCTGGCTGCGAGTGCAAAACTCCCATAAAGTTTGGTAGTGATGTTTTGCGATTAAGAAGGAAAAATAATATTTAGTTTTGTATTTACTTATGAACCTCGTTCATATTGGACAGAACATTAATATACTATTGAGCTTCGGTAAAAGGAAGAGAATATTGCGTGAGAGATAGAACTGTATATTATTTATTACAATTGTGAAAAAATTATTGTCAGAAATTCTTATTCAGCATTATAGAATTTGCGTCATCTTGATTAGCTAGTTCACACCAATTGTTACACTATTTTCAATATTTAAGAAGAGGCCCCGAGCAACGTGACGTCATGTGAAGAGAATTAACGCAAACATTAGATGTCGACGCATTGTCGCAATAATTAGAATTGACGTCATCAAATATTCCTGGCATTAAAATCCACATATTGGGTGATGTTGCTACTAGAGATTGGCTGAGCTAAAACCCACGTGTTTAGATTTTCCTTTTCTCAGAAAAAAGACTACGAGCAATACAAAGAATAACCTACTCAGAATTACGAAACATCTCTCCGTCGAGATGTGATGTTTACAATTAATTCTCTCAGGACAGGTGATATGTAATTCCTCGCATGTAATTCTCTAACCTCGCCATTCATACACCCACACCGACAGTGTAACTACAAAGTTTATCGCGCTGAGTACATACTTTCTTTGACGTTTGCAGCAGCACCAAAAGTGTAAAGGACATATGTAGGTGGAGAAACGTATTTTAGGCGCAGGCAATTGAAAAACATCCGTCCATTATATGGATTTATTTCAATGGTAATCGGGAGTCTATTAGACGGTGTGTGGTGTGCCTTGTCTGTTTCAATATTTCAGTGTCGACACTATTTTAACTATTGGCTTCTTTCCCATCTTGGTTTAAACTTCAAAGCTGAATGCCTGTTTTTGACTTAAGATGAAACATTAACTCCCAGACCATTGCACCATCTATATATGTAGTCATGCCTTGAGACATCCAGGGAACAGCTATGTACATATTATCTTATAATTTGTTTATTAAAAGGTTTTCTATTACCACCCGCTTACAAACAACGCACCTGTACTAAACAGGGTCTATAACATCACGTGTAGACGGGTGTAGTTTTGGCATCAGCTGGTCATTCGAATGGGGCATCGATAGCACTGTGCAGCTGTGCTCTACAACGTCTACTTTACTCCGAGACGGATAGTCTACTCTCGATAGACACTAACGTCTTTCCCAAAACACCAGATCTGCACAATCACCATACGCATGCATCTCAAAACTCGCAGTGCTATTAAAATGTTTCATTTAAATTTTTAAGTCCTTGATTTTTTCAATTTAAAAAAAAAAAATTTTAAATATTTTTTTTTATCCCCATCATTTCAAATACAAAGTATACATGGAACATATTACATTAAGATCAGCATGGTATATATTCAAATCGCCTTGTTGTACATTCAGAGGTTTGTTTCTCTGGTACATCTGGTAAATCTATATATAAGGTTTCTATACAGAATAACAGACAAATTGTTGTATTAAATCATATCTTGGTATTCTTGAATAATGTGTGGAATGAAGACCAAAAAGAGAAAAATTTAGCTTGTTTACAATTTGAGAAAGCAATAGATCTTGTAGCTTCATAATATTTAATTATTTCCCACTTTACTTGTTTAAAATGTGGAATTGATTTCTTTCTCATTTGTTTATAAATTACAAATTTTGCAATTAAAAATATAATATTTAATGGGTTATTGTTTTTTCCTTTAAATCCAAATAAAAGATTTTGGTTACTACAATCAATACTTCCTTCCACTGTTGTCCCTAACCAATCTTTCAAATCCTCCCAAATATGAATTGTATATTGACATTCACAAAACATATGAATAATGGTTTCTGGGCAAGTTTTACAAAGAGTACATGTGGGGGTATCTTCATAACCAATCTTAAATAAATAACTATTTGTTGCAAGAATATAGTGTAGTATCTTAAGGTGAAACCAAATTAGGCTTACACTTTGTGGTGATTTTTTCAAGTTGCCTGTGATCAATAATTACTTAAGGTCGGTGTATCCATTCTCATACTGGCAAAGTGAAAACAAGCCATTCCGGTGATAAGGAATATTACCTACAGTAATGACAAAAATTTACAAGTGTGCTTTTCAAGAAATGTCTATCTTGCTAGCGCTAAACATCCCCATTGAGCTTTGAACCCCTGGTTACAATCCGGGTACGAATCGTCAGCCAGGTAGGTGCCTGCGAGCCGTTTTAATCTTACAGGTCGCTACTTTGGTGGCTTCTTGTTGGAGGGAGAGTACCGGCCATCAGCTTGGTTGATGGTGCTAAGGCATGGGGAGCCAGTGAAGGTGGTATCGATGCCTTTTTGGCGCTTAAATGATTTGCTGATTTGATGTGAAGTCTAGCTTATATACGGGTCTGGTGATTTTACCTTGCTGTGATTGTTTTAGAACATGTATTCTGATGTTTAGGTCATATTGTTTGTTTTAAATATAAATATAAAAGTCATCAAATGACTTGAATTCAGCAAAATGTTTGTCACAGTCATTATCAAAATGATCAAGAAACGTATCCTAATTCAAACAACTATGTACATTACAGAGAATAATTATTATTACACGGTCTCTATGGCAATGTTATATTATTCAGCTAATTTAGAGACATTTGGAGTTAAATTCCTTTTGTAGGTCTATATAATTTCCTACTTTGAGGATTTGATAATGATCGGTTAGACATGGCTGAAGAAACACAAATGGTGGAAGATAAACTTTAACTGTTAAACACAGTCCAAAACATGTTTAAACGCATATAAGCGTCAACATTATGGGACAAGGAACGCGCTTAATTAGGTTTGTATTTAGGACGTAAACACATTATTTACAATTAGTAGTGCAAGCATCGTCTCATTATAATGGTCCAGAGCATCATTAATAAACAAATCATAATGTCGAAGCATCAACACAACATTCATCGCCGCGTCTCCTTTCGACCTTCAACTTCGTGTTTTTCGTGCTGCTTACAGATACCGATGATTCCAACGTGGCCATGTTTGTGCACATAATACTGTTTTCCAAATCTGCATCTTATCGTTTGTTGCAATAGATCTCGGAGAAAGGTGCGCATTCTATTGCAAGGCTGATCCTTTAGAGAACAGTGTATGGTCGAATCATCAGTTACGACTGTTAGTTCATACATCACCCTTATACCAGCAACATCCTTTTTCAAAGTTGTATTTGAATAATGTGCAAAGTTTAAGTGAGTAATAAAAAATAAATAAACGATTCCTCGTTACATACCGTCTTTATTATTGAGTGTGTTTCAAGACGCGACTCAAGAGCGAGGTCGAGTTCTATCTCTCTCTCTCTCTCTCTCTCTCTCTCTCTCTCTCTCTCTCTCTCTCTTTATATGTATGAGTGAGTGAGTTGGATATACAACGGCTTTGAACAGTATTCCAGTTATGATGTGTGACGAAAGACCCAAGCTATACAGGTCTTAAACGTTTACCACTTTGGTGAAATCCATGAGCATTCATGTATACTGTGCTGACAAACCTGGTAACATTATCGAGTCTGTCCTTGTCTCTATCTTTTCGAGACAGCAACAGCCCTGAACTTACTGCACCTGAACCATTTGATATTTGTTGTGATACGAACGTGACATTTCCAGCTGCATAGCTGGGTGTAGCTGCAGCTGAACCGATGCCCGGATGAAATATAGATAATTCATTAGACGTTTCTTAGCTGGTGATGGTGGTTCTCGAAGTGCCACATCCCACGAGAGGCACATCTTTCCGTGGGAAGAGTGTCCACACGCCAATATCAAAGTCTATTTTTTACAGCATACAAGAACTTGTACCAGCCGGCGAAAACAGGTATTGTATAGAGATGGATCGCCTCTCAGTCCGTTTATTCATTTAGTGCTTTTCACCTTGTACGGCATATACCATCGCACCTCTCCAAAATATATGTTTACAGTAAACTACGGTTATAACGAACCCAAAGGGATCACTAATTTCAGTTCGTTACAACCGTAGTTCGTTATAATCAAATATACAGCATATATACAACAAGTGGCCGGGACAAAAAATAAATTCGTTATATCCGTCTGTTCGTTATAAGCGTGTTCGTTATAAGCGTAGTTCACTGTATATCCACCCATTCGTCAACTTGAATGTTGTCTCGCAATTTCTTTACGAATGTTTGCTCAAAATATAAAAAGAATGCACACTGTATTTTACTGTGATGATATTTGAAGAAGGGAAGTAACTCTGCATCTGGTTTTTTTCTCTGCAACTCTCAACAACGATATCGCAAACGTTGTATTTGTACATGCAGTACAATATACATAGACGATCCAGATGAGGACCCACTGATGCAGGAACCCATTAATCATCGGAACTCAGGTCGTGACGTTGGTGACACGTTGTAACCAACACATGGAATACTCAGACATGCCAGGATAAGGAGTTTAAAACATTTTACAGTTGGGGCCTCGTTCGAGAATGAATCTCATCACGATAATTATACATATTCAATACCCAGATATTTGTTATTTGTGTTCGTGTGATATGGTTTTGTAGGTATAGTGCTGGATACGCTGACCTTTTCGCGAACACCTGGTATCATCACCATTTTATAGTAAACACATGCTCATGTTATAGTCGACTTCATACCATCGACTCTCGGTCTTTCTTACGAAAATGGAAAGGGTTTTGTCGCTTTTGTTATTCGACTTTTTATTACCGATATGGTGGCAGTTCGGTTTTGTTTGTGTTTATACATTCTCCAACAACAGGCAAAAAGGAAAAATCGAAAAAGATAGTATCAGGAGTGTTTGCAGATTTTATTTCTCATGTTACAAACGATCGGCGCGTGGTTGTGACGTGGTAAGTCGTGTCTGGTGCTTCCCTGCCCCTATGCAGCTGCAATAGAAACGACCACACGAACAGTTAGTTGTTTGTTTGTTTGTTGTCTATAGCCGTCTATAGCAATATTCTAGCCTTATGACGGCGGTCTGTAAATAATTGTGTCTAGACTAGACAATCCAGTGATTGATATCATGAGCATCGATCCACGCAGTTGGGATACAATGACAAGCATCAAACAAGTCAGCGAGCCTGATCACCCGATCCCGTTAGTCGCCTCTTACGACAAGCATAGTAGCCTCTAACGACAAGAATGTCGACTAAACGTTACAAAAAGTTAGTATCTCAGATAGACCCTTCCTCAAATACCCGTGTTCGGGTTCTGAATAAACAAACAATAAATGTCGCATATGAATCAACAACAGAAATAACTTTTGCTGTGTGCTAAGATGGACTAGGAATACAGATGACTATTGTCCCTTCAATTTTATTCAAATATGTCAAGTACTAAAAATGCGGTACTGTAAATAGCCCCATGAAACTTTGGTTAACTTACAGTCTGAAGAGCGGCAGAAAGTAAACGCGAACAGGAAAGTATTTTTAATATTCTGTCAGTTATTTACAGTCAGAACTGTTGTGTATTTTACTCGACAACGCTATCAATTTTATGACGAAAGAACTATTTTATGTGGCCCAAGGGTAATCATGGCACCGAAAAATATGCCTTATTACTCATCCCAGAACGACCATGACTTTTGTGCATGCTCATATTAACATACTCTTTATTTATTCATATATATTTACAATATATATCATTGTTAATTTATACCATTCTGAATTAATAGACCTCCTCCGTGGTAAAGTGGTACAGCGTCCGCCCGGAGAGCGGATGGTCTGGGGTTCGATCCCCGACCCCGTCACACTAAAAAACGTTAAAATATGGTACTTGTTGTTACCCTGTCTGGCGCTCGGCATTAAGGGCTAAAACAATGACTGGTCGGCTCGGAGTCAGTATACTGTGTCTGAGTGGGGTATTCATGGTAAACTGCGGCATGGTATCTCAGTGAGCTAGCACTATAAATCGGCTTCAGTCCGGACTAGTACAAGCAGCCACACACACACACACACACACACACACACACACACACACACACACACGTGCATGCACGTCGCTATATAAGTGCAATAATCTTGGACGCGACGTTAAACCCCATTTCACCTCACCTCACCTGAATTAATATGGCAGGAATTTTGGAAATATAAGAGGATAATAAATTAAAATTCTAGCTACCTATTAGTATTAACAAAGTGATAATAGATGAGAAATTTCTCTTTGTGACCGTACCTTACCTATCCCACCTATCTCACCGAACAATCTACCTACCATCACAATTCTTGCAAAATTCACGATTAACCACAATTATGATGTTATGATGCCAAAATATTTTCACGATTGTTTCACAAAGTACTTACAGAATTTGCAGGCCACGTATACTGGTTCTGTTTCACGGCCAACCATGGGGCACGCCAGCTGCACGGAACACCCAACACGCGTCGCGCTGCTGGTGATCTGAGGAGGAAGGATGAAATATATGTTGTGGAACATTACTTCTATATGCCTTTCAAAGACTTGAAATATCTGTTGTTTTAACTCGGCTTTTGAACATTTAAGTCTTGACCATTGGTTACCAGAACAGGAAAGTTCATGGCACTCATCGCACAAAACAGCAGGTCAACCATCTCATTTCATTCACACTTCTTACTGGGATCGGGGACGAGAAAGCTGGCACTATGTCTTCCCGAGGTACTTGTCATTTGTCATTTAAATTTTTTATCACACGCAAAGCAATGTTCATTTTATTGACACAGGCCAGAAAACATGAAGAATTGCTCATGTTTTATAACCACCCATACGAATATCAAATATACGTCACAATAGGCTAGTGGTGACCTTATCATGTGTATTGAATTGAACATAAAACTAAAATCATGTGCATGAAATGAAACATTTTGCAAAAAGAAGATACATTTTATAACGAAGATCAACTTTATCCTAATCCTAGCGTTGTTGGGGCGGTCGGGTAGCCTAGTGGTTAAAGCGTTCGCTCGTGACGCCGAAGACCCGGGTTCGATTCCCGACATGGGTACAATGTGTGAAGCCCATTTCAGGTGTCCCCCGCCGTGATATTGCTGGAATATTGCTAAAAGCGGCGTAAAACCATATTCACTCACTCACTCACTCCTAGCGTTGTTTCGATGCAGCCGACTCGGCTTTCAGCAAAGATTTCTTATGATTCTGGAAAGTGTTTTTTCGTTTATATTTTATTACACTACCATTTACCCAGATATTATTTCGGGATTTATATCAAGAAGATCATTTCAGGGATTATTTTTCCATTATTAGAATTTTCTCCCGGGAGTAAAGTTATACTTGCACGGTTCTTACTATGATCCAACTATCCAACTTCCGTATACACGTCCATGAAGACCCTTGCGTGTAGTGTCTAGTTCGTGTGAATATATATCTTCAGTTAAGAAAGACGATTAATGTCTATGTTCGTGACCAACACATTGACTAATAGTTACCTCACTCAGGGCATCTGGCTCGTTCGTCCAGTTAGCAATGGCTTTGTTGATCGCATCATCAATATCAGTTCCATGTGAGAAGATGGCGGCTGTAACTTTAGGCATCTCCTGCTGCTCACAGCTCTCAGTAATACCATCTGCCTCAATCATGTCGAAGAGATCCCAGACCTAATATAACACACACGGGGAATTCACTCGTCAATACATTGGACGCCAATTTGGACAGACATAGAATATCAATATAGATACATAATATATAGACAACTGTGTTATCAATTATTTTCCTTTTTGCATGTGAAGCGGTGTTAACCCTATGCTTCGTTTTTTGTTGTTTAACGCCGCACTCAGCAATATTCCAAATATATAACCAAGTCAGCGAGCCTTACCAACCGATCCCGTTAGTTGCCTCACACATGGATATATCACAAGCTTAGTCGCCTTTTACGGCAAGCGTGGTTTGCTGAAGACCTATTCTAACCTTCTTCACGGTAAACTCTGCTACCTACTCACGTTACCCGGCCATTTAAATCTAAAGTTTTGAACTTTATACAATTTAATATATCATTTAGAAAGCACACGAGAGCCTTATTGTGTTTAATGCTGCCTGGAACAGTATTTCAGTTATAATCACAATAAGTCTTCTCAGTGTGGGAGGATATTTCCCAAGTCATTCAAGACATTATCACCTAACAGAAATGTGATACCACGGGTGTGATACTGACACAGCAAGGATCATAATCAGAGCCAGTCTTGGATTCGAACACATCCAGAGGATTACGTCAGTCACGAGTAAAATGACTCGGCAAATTGCAGCACCTTTCAATCAGAGGAAATGTCTGCATATAGTTGCCCTGTACACGAGTGGCGGGATGCTTAACTGGATTCATATTATTCGAAAGGCACAGGGGTCAGTTGTGTCGCAAACCAACCAATCTTTAACTTAAAGACTGCCTGTGGCTCTGACTCTATGTTATCCACAATGTGCCGTCATGGTCTTCCTACAAGTCTTGCTCTGGTTATTTTTATGTTACCTACCAAGTCTGATTCACCATTGGCGCTCCTGATCTTGTTTATCGATGCCAAAGTTGATTCCTGAAGCTCAGGAGCAAGCTCCTCGGCAGCGGCCAGTGCCAGAATAGCGACGAAGACGATGACCTTCATGGTTGAGGGTGCCTGTTGGAACTGTTGGAGGTGCAGACGGGGACAGAAATAGAAACATTTATTGACGCTATCGGTATCAATATGTCAACCAACTTCCACAATGTCTCAGTAATATGTGGCCCAGTCGCCTAAGCCCCGCGATTCGCTGTGCAGGGTTGCGTGTCCCTTGGGCACGCCAGAAACCTATGATTGTGGGTTCGAATCCCGGTTATGTTTCTAGGTTTGTCAGCACCATACCCGTCCGTCTCTGGCGTCCCTGCTGTAAAATTACTGGAATGTTGCTAAAAGCAGTGAGTGAGTGTGAGTGAGTTTGGTTTTACGCCGCATTTAGCAATATTCCAGCAATATCACGGCGGGGGACATCAGAAATGGGCTTCACGCATTGCACCCATATCGGGATTCGAACCCGGGTCTTCGGCATGACGAGCGAACGCTTTAACCACAAGGCTACCCGACACCCCCTGCTAAAAGCAGTCCGACACTAAACTTGCTCATCCCACTGGATAACCCGATCCCAAAGAAAAACACACGAAAAAAGTGAAACTTACCGAAAGTCGTAACGGATGTTGAAATGGAGCTGAATTGATGTGGACACACATTTATATACTCTCAGCTGTGCACTGCAGAATGCTTACCCCAAAGAAGCCATCATACTTAATGACAATCTGCATGCTTAATACTGCAGGTGCTGCATATTACATAAAGCACTGTAACTTGTATGCAAAGAGCGAGATTCCTACATATATTTATTTGATTGATCACTAATTTAATTAGTCAGTAACTGAATATGTTTTGACGCCAATATATAAATATGTCAACTATCACAATTAACATTATCTATGAGTATGTTACTATTTTATGAAATCTCAAGCGTGTTGCCCGTTTAGTCGTAAATTCAATTAGCATTATTTTGGTAGAGTGTGTTCGTGTGTGTATTGGGGTGAGTCACAGGTTTTTCTTAAAGTTTAAATAGTTTGATGCCAATATATATCAATGCCACCGAGTAACGAGTCTCGATTATCCTACGAAAGAAATTCCAATAGACTAAAAAGCACAATAGCGATGACAATTGTATGAATTTCGATCACTGAAACACATTATTAAAGTCAGCTATTGCTCTAAACTATCTGTAAAGTTTATTTGAAAAGGAAAGGTGAAACGAGTGGCCGATAGAGTGAGCATTTAACCTCCTGATGACTGGGCAGGGGTCTGTCCATGTAAGCAGACATTGATGATGTGACTTACGTCTGTGCCTCCACCCTTATACTGCGCTGTGTGATAATGTTCTTGTGAGTGAGCGAGTGTTTAAAACGCAGCACTATATTATCCATATTACGCCTTATTAGCAGTGTCACAATGCTTTTGACGTACAGGATACAAAGGGTGACTTTTCATATTTTACCCATCGTTTGAATCCATCTCAGGTGTTCAAATGAACGAGCAAACACGTTCACTTCCGGCTTAATCATCCTTCCCCAGGGGTCACATACTCTGATGTTTGAATTGACGTCATTGGTCACTACATGTTAATGTTAAAATAATTTACATCAAATCTAGTGAGAGAGTGAGTGAGTTGGGTTTAACGCCGCTTTTAACAGTATTCCAGTTACATCACGGCGTGTCAGCTTAATGCAGTTCTCAGACGTTTACCACTTCAGTGAAACCCATGAGCACAGGTATGGTGCTGACAAACCTAGAAACATAATCGGGGCGAACCGGGATTCGAACCCACAATCATAGTTTTCTTGCGATCCCAAGGGACGCAACTCTGCATAGCGAATCGCGGCGCCTGAGACGACTGGGCCACCCGTGCCCCAAATCTAGTCACACATAACTCACAGAAAGCTCTATGCATGTAGCCACACGTTTGTTACATAATCAGTCACGGCATGCATGTGTTATGTATTGGTAATGGTTAATAACGATGATTATGCAATAATTAATAATGATTGATGATAAAGATAAGAATGGTTATTAGATAATGCATTGAATAATTAATTAAATGTGTATGATAAACTTCGCAGTGATATGCTTTGTATTATGGCCTACGTTGTTATCTATAACGTTGTTCTCAAACACCCAGTGCCGCATGGTACGTTTTCAAAACAAGAACTTTAAGCTGAAACACATCAAAAGTCTTCTGTTTTCGATATTCGATATCCCTGTGAATAATATAAAATTAACGTTCATAAGATCAAACGATACCGGTAATACGATAGGGTTAAATAGAAGATAAGTGTTTTAGTTTATATATGACGATATGGCATCATCGAAACATATTTGACACTGCTCGGATTCTTAGTTTGTTGATTTGAATCACGTGATGTTTAAGGCACCACGTTCCCTTTTCAATCCCTTACATTTTCCTCTACCAGGCATGCGCAGATCGGTGAGTGTCCGTGCTGGTGCCTGCAGTCTGCAAATGACATTCTGATCTTAAAATACTTTGAAATATCGCTGACGGCCAAATATAAACATGCCTATATATTTATAGACGGTCACTTATTATCCTTTTGAACCCGTGAAGATCCGGCGTAGAATAGGTCTTCAGCAACCCATGCTTGCTGCAAAAAGCGACTATGCTTGTCGAAAGATGCAACTAACGGAATCTGGTGGTCAGACTCGCTGACAGGGTTGATGCATGTCGTCGTTTCCCATTTGCGTGGATCGATGCTCATGATGTCAATCACTGGATTGTCTGCTTCAGACTCAATTATGTACAGACCGCCGTCATATGTTTGAAATGTTGCTTAGTGTGGCGTTAAACAACAAACAAACAAACAAAAATCTTTCCTCATGTTACGTCGACACCCTGGCCTGGTGCTATGACCTTTCATAACTTGCTTATTTCGCAGTATCGTTGAGCTGACATGAACCGATGTTTATCCGAATGCATTGGTTGAATTCGAAGGAAAGCATCTCGGTTCGTTTGCGTCGTAAAAGCTGACAAAAGCTGGATTATAAAGCGTTTTACTCGGTGAAACTTCGGACATATATTCCGGGAGTGTATGAATGAATTTAGGTGAGATAATTTCGTTGTCAACCCTTCCCCCGGGTCATATGGTGTGATGTACCCTGTGTGTGAGCCGATGTACCCTGTGTGTGAGCCCATGTACCCTGTGTGTGAGGCGATGAACCCTGTGTGTGAGCCGATGTACCCTGTGTGTGAACGGATGTACCCTGTTTGTGAGCCGATGTACCCTGTGTTTTAGCCGATGTACCCTGTGTGTGAGCCGATGTACCCTGTGTGTGAGCCGATGTACCCTGTGTGTGAACCCATGTACCCTGTGTGTGAGCCGATTTACCCTGTGTGTCAGCCCATGTACCCTGTGTGTGAGGCGATGTACCCTGTGTGTGAACCCATGTACCCTGTGTGTGAACCCATGTACCCTGTTTGTGAGCCGATGTACCCTGTGTGTGAACCCATGTACCCTGTGTGTGAACCCATGTACCCTGTGTGTGAACCGATGTACCCTGTGTGTGAACCCATGTACCCTGTGTGTGAGCCGATGTACCCTGTGTGTGAACCCATGTACCCTGTGTGTGAACCCATGTACCCTGTGTGTGAACCCATGTACCCTGCGTGTGAACCCATGTTCCCTGTGTGTGAGCCGATGTACCCTGTGTGTGAACCCATGTACCCTGTGTGTGAGCCCATGTACCCTGTGTGTGAACCCATGTACCCTGTGTGTGAACCCATGTACCCTGTGTGTGAACCCATGTACCCTGTGTGTGAGCCCATGTACCCTGTGTGTGGGCCCATGTACCCCTTGCCTAACGGCTCGGCCACACACGGGGTATGTCACACCATATACCCCTCTTGATCGGTTGACAATTTATATGAATAATGACAAAAAAACAAAACAATCGCGTGTAACTATTTAGACACATGGAGACAATAATGTCGATAGAAGACTCCAAATCTACATCCAATTCTTTAATAAGGAGTCTGTCATCAGCATTACATCAATAATTTATCATGTTGTTTTGTGCTGATTGCAAGCACTTAGGTGGTGAATTAATGATAAAAAAAACATCAACGCCGGAGAAAAACCAGTCTTAATTAAAAGCCCAAACAGATTCCACTGGGAGTGAATGATAAACATTCCTGATTCTAACGATACACCTGTGACATATTTCAGTAACTGTCACATGCAGCGTTTTAATTTGCATGTACAGCCGAACAGGGTTAGTGTATATACCTTACTGTAAGGAAGGTGTTTTTGGAAGAATTTGTAATTGGAAACTATAAAACTTTACTTTGCCTTTAAGTCTGATAATGTGGACGATGTGGACGTTATAATTTAAATGGATCTCAGGACAGCGTCGCGTTCAAGATTATTGCAGTTACATAGCGACGTGTGTGTGTGTGTGTGTGTGTGTGTGTGTGTGTGTGTGTGTGTGTGTGTGTGTGTGTGTGTGTGTGTGTGTGTGTGTGTGTGTGTGTGTGTGTGTGTGTGTGTGTGTGTGTGTGTGTGTGTGTGTGTGTGTGTGTGTGTGTGTGTGTGTGTGTGTGTGTGTGTGTGTGTGTGTGTGCTAGTCCGGACTTATGCCGCTTTAATTTAAAGTGCTAGCCCACTGAGATACATAGCCGCAGTTTAACATGAATACCCCACTCAGAATACTGACTGCGAGCCGACCAGTCCTTGTTTTAGAAGCTTAATGCCGAGCGCCAGGCAGGGTAACAACGAGTACCATCTTTTAACGTCTTTATGACGCGGCCGGGGATCCAACCCATGATCTTCCGCTCTCCGGGCGGACGCTCTACCAACTGACCACCGAGGCGGTTGGTACAGTGAGGGAGTACAAAGGCATTGAAAACTGTTCATTGTCATGTCACATAAGGCCACTCAGTATCTCGTGTGACCGCCCCGGGCAGCAATCACAGCTCTGCATCTTCTCGGCACTGACTGAATAATTGGACGAATTTTGTCCTGCGGAATTCTGCGCCATTCTGCTTGTAACGCGTTGGCTAGTTATGGGAGTGCCTGCGGAGTGTTCTGACGTTGACGTACACGTCGATCGAGTTTATTCCAGGGGTGTTTGATTGTGTTGAGATCTGGTGATCTCGACGGCCAGGACAAGACGTTGATGTTGGCATTATGGAGGTAGTCTACCGTGACACGAGCTGTGTGCGGTGGAGCGTTGTCAGCTTCCTCTGGCGGTCATTTAGGTTGAAGAATTTGATTCATATAGCGATTTGTTGTCAAATTTCCCTAAACCACCACAACCAAGTCAGATTCCCCCCCCCCCCCCCCATCCCCCCCATCCCATGACACTACCGCCACCGAAATTGTCGAATTCACGTACACATTGTGGGGCAAGGCGTTCATTTCAACGACGATAAACACGTTGTCTTTCATCTCGCCGGTGAAGAAGAAATCGTGATTCATCCCTAAACCACACCCGTCTCCAGTTTCTCAAATTCCAAGACTGTAAGGTATGGCAACAACGTAAGCGTCGCTGTCGATGGATCTCTTGAAAAACAGGGACCAGAACTGGTCTTCTTGGTCGGATTCCAGCCACGCGAAGATGGTTCCTGACAGTCTGGTCCGATATCCTCCTCAAACCATGGATGCGTCCTGCAGTCTCCGTAGCTGTGACATTGCGATGACGTAGGTGGAACAGTCGAATGAAGCGATCCTGTGCAGGGGCGATAACACTTGTTCGGCC